ACCACAAGGTCAAATGAAAATGTTTTCTGTGGCAAAATGATTGCGTGCGCCAATCTTGAGGTATCGCACTGGAAAAAAAAAGTGTAATTGTAATATTGGAATTTTTTTATTATTGTTTTTCTTCAGCACACCGTATTACTGGTTCCCATATTGTATACAGTTTTATGGTTGGTCATCTTAGGAGATTTTTATGGCTTAGCATATGAGCTGATTCCTTAAGTTTCCGTATTTTCCAGGGATCTTCTCTGTATATTATTTCAAGCTCAATCCACAGGTGGCGGTGATCTCCCTTTCCGCCCATATGTTGTCAGCTATACCTGATTTTTCTATTTCCCCACATGTTACGGCTTTACGGTCTTCCTGCAGTCTTATCTTAAGGGAGCAGCTTGTTTCTCCTTTATATTTCTTACCACAGCTACATGGGATGACGTATACACAGTGCTTGATCATGTTCTCCTCTATGGGGGGGGGGTCTTACTTGGAAGGGATGTTTGCAAAGTGTTGAAACACTTCTGAAGGTTGTCCTTATAATATATGAACCACAGAACTTTTGCATTTTTCCGATTAACGCTTAAATTCTAAGTTGGCGCATGAGGGAAATTTATTCAAATTTTCGAAAGTGTTGTCAGGCAGATAATCTTGCAGCGCCCATATCTATCTATCTATCTAGCTATCTAGCTAGCTAGCTATCTCAATCTGTCCGTATCTATCTTGTATATTTGGGCAGCAATCTTTCTTTTTTACATGTTTCACTTAATGTTATGAACAAGGAAAATGTACAATTCCCCCCCGTAATAATTACCAGTGAGAACACGCCTATGAAATACAATCTTCAGACCACCATTGTCGCTTATCTATGTCGTTGCTCATTACAAGTCTACGATTCTTGTAATAAACAAGAGAGTTACGTCGCCTACATTGGCCAGATGACAACCTCATTAAGTCGTAGACAGAAACAAATAAACCCTCACTAGAAAGCAAATAAACTCTTATAGACAACTCACTTCTCCAAAAAGAAAATAACAATCTTGTAGATGACACTATCATTTTAAAAATATCTAAAAGTCTTTTAATAGAAGCACTTTATATAAAATAGGTTAATCAAAGCTTCAATTTCAATTTCTTTCAAAATGAACGAAACACGTTGGTGGTGATTTAAAAGCATTTCTACATGGGATTACTACTCCTCCTATCCAGCATAGTTTAGAATGACTATTATTTTTACACAATAGAGCATAGGACGTAAACACAAAAATATACTATTTACACCACTCGGACTGGTGTCCTCATCTTTATTGCCATATTCACGACATTTCGAACAATTTACTAATTTGGGACTAAATAAAGGGTTCGTTTCGAAATTTCAACGCATATCACCTGAAGAAGGTTGGAGCATTTAACGGCCGACTCATCGTGAATATGACAATAAAGGCTAGGACAACAGAACGAACGATGTAAATACTTCATCTATGAAATATAGACAGATACAAATATATACTATCAAGGAAGCCTTTATAAATGGTTAATGAATTAGTCGAATGGCTTCGGCCAATATTCACTGTGCACAGTTTGCTCTTAATACTATAAGTGGTATATATTTAGTGTTTAAATTTGTTTGAATAGTCATCTCAATGAAATTAATGTCTGCTGGCCACGAGATCGAAATTCTTCATAAAGAAGATATGCCTGCCAACAGGAATAGAACTTGTATTACCTTTTTTAATTGGCAATATTTCTTCTTCTTTTTTTTTTTACTTTTCAGGTACATCCATAAAATTACATTATGTAGATGTCGAAATGTCCCAACGAGAGGCAGTTACATTTCTTTAAAAAGGCAACTGAACTTTGGTTTGAAAGCAGTTTCTCTTATTCACAATGGAAGACAGTTTCGATCCCCGTTGGGACGAACATTTTCTTTATCTCGAGGCCGGTAAATATTAATTCCACTCTCTAAAAGACAAGAATGTCAGTTCAAACACGTGTAGCCACTAAAAATAACGTGTATAGTGAATTAGGTGTGTTCCAGCTGCAATGTTTATATAAGTTGAGTTAAACAGAAACGTAAATTCACCGTTTAAGATTTCATTCTGTTGCTTTTCGGAAAATTTTCCTGATTTTTCATTCTTTTAACCAAACCTGAATACACACACACACACACACACAAACGCACACAGACGCATATACATACACACACACACATATATATATGTGTGTGTGTGTGTGTGTGTGTGTGAATTTATATATATAATATTTTACTATTATTTTAACATTTTCCTGTATATAAATTGTATTGATTATTTAACAAATAGGAATTTTAAAGTTTATGAACTGTTCAATTTTCAAACACATATCTAACTAGCAAGGTTGGCACGATAAGGATTTTTTTTGGATTTTTCGGAAACGAAACGTTGGTAAAAGACGAATTAGTTTTCACATATTTTCCCTTACATAGTACGATCGGAGAATTCGTAATTTTACCATATATATATATATATATATATATATATATATATATATATATATATATATATATATATATATATAGAGAGAGAGAGAGAGAGAGAGATTTGCGTGTGATTGTGTGTGATTGTGTGATTGTGTGTGTGTGTGTGTGGCGTGTAAAACTGTTTTATTAACTTGATTACGTGTTTCGCTATACTTAGATAGGCTTCCTTGAATCAGAACGAAAGAAATATGTCTGTTTTTGTGCGTGTTCTTCAATATTAAATCGCCGATACTTTTCACAGATTTGAATATATATATATATATATATATATATATATATATATATATATATATATATATATAATATTAGTGGTAAATATACACATATATAAGTAAATATACATAGGTGCATACACATACATGTATATTTTTTGAATAAAAAATTCAAGAGGATAGAATCCAGGTAGAACTCAATGTCCAGGACAGAGTAAGGATATAATAAAAATATTAGTGTTTAATCCTTTTTATTATATATATATATATATATATATATATATATATATATATATATATATAAATATAAATATAGTGATAATGTATACTATATTCATGAATTCAGATATAACAAAAATATATCTGTAAAAAGCAATATGAATATAGATACAAAGAAAACTATTCGCGTTTCGTCCTCTCATAGACTTTATGAAGGCAAGTTTAAGGATTTTATTTTGCAAAAATCTATTCTCCAAACTTATCTTGATATATACAAATGATATATCGTTATCCCATATCTATCTATCTATCTATCTATCTATCTATCTATCTATATATATATATATATATATGCGCGTAAATGTGTGTGTGTGTGTATGTGTGTGTGTGTGTGTGTGCATACCAATGAAAAATTCCAAAAATCTAATCAAATGAACAAACATGAGGAGAATCATTTATTGGTCGAGTCGAGTACTTTTCCACATGTAGTCGTTTCGTAGAAACACACATGCGCACGCGCGCACACACACACAAACACACACAGGCATATATATATATAATTACGAATAATGTGCGCGAGCTGCATATACATACATATGTGCAAATATTCACGTGCTATTTACGCAGTTTATGAAAAGTTATTTGCCGCCATCTTCGCTCGCAGTGCCTGCCATATATCCACTGGAGGTAGATTCAGCTTCCGCTGTCCGATTGGCTCATCTCACAGCATCCGAACTTCTACTTCCGAACATGGCAGGCCACCTGGCGTCAATTTGCAGCAATAAATAAGATCTGTAATACCAGATGGTTGCTTTGATCAGCGCTCAGCTCAGATACAGACGCTAGTGAGATTTAGTTGCCCAAGATTTATTCCATTTAGCCATCGTGGCTTTTACAATTTCTAGCTGGACCATTTCAGGAAAATAAATTAATTCAGAAGACAGAATTACTCTTCAATATTCGTGCCAACCTCATTCTTTCTCCCCCCCCCCATTCAATAGACATGGGGAAAAACCTGTACATATGCCGTAAAAATCCGATTTCCAATTTATATTATAATCATAAGATATATGTCTGTTTGTACATATGTGTGCTACTTAAGATTTAGTAAAAGCGACATATTGTAGCGCGATTTTAGTTAGAGCAATAATTTGAAGAATAAGAATAAAGAAGTATCCAGATAACGTTTTTTATGAATTATGCATACGGCATCAAGTAAAAAACGATAATAGTAATAATAATGACCATGATAATATAAATAAGAATTGTATATACCTATGTGTATATAAATATGTTCAGTTTCAGTAAGTAACCAGGTGCAAAAGAATTTTTATTTGTGTGTGTAGTGGGGGGGATAGCGGTTTATCGTCTGAATAATAATGATGAAAATAATAGTAATAATAATTATGATTCCATTAGTAAAATGGACAGGGATGTTCCGTGTGCATGTATATGTGTGGATAGTCCTTGGATATTCCTTCTCCAAGTCCAGTTAGATGCGAGACATATCATGACATAGCCACGCCTCTTTCTATCTCAATTTAATTTTTGAAAATCATAGAATTGTGAAACCGGAAAAGTTACTGTAAATAAATATATTATATGTGTGTGTGTATGTATGTGTGTGTGTGCGTCTGCGGTGACTACTAGGTTATATATATATATATATATATATATATATATATATATATATATATATATATATATGTGTGTGTGTGTGTGTGTGTGTGTGTGTAGAGGAGAGAGAGAGAGAGAAAGAGAGAGGGGGAGAGAGAGAGAGAGAGAGAGAGAGAGAGAGAATTCATACAAGTAAAAGATTTATCACTTCGCCGATTGATGTTACATTCATCGTCCCAGCCCAAGAGTATAAGCAGTCCATTTCTGATACACCCTGAGTAATTCCCCGGAGGGTCCGTCTGCGAAAATCTGGAGTAAGGATTCTGAAGGTAACATCCTTTTACTTGTATTAATTCTATTAATGTGCTATCTCTAAAATCGAGCACTTTATTGCAAAGACCGCTTGCCTTAAACGTCTTTTCTCTTAGTATTCTACTGACTGACAGCATTTTTGGTTTCATACTATCTTTAATATCGATATCTATCTATCTATCTATCTATCTATCTTAGAGTTCAAATGTAGGTCAAATATGGATCGTCGGAATCCGACAGGATGGTGAAATAAAAGAACAAATATGAAACGTATATCAATCTAAAATGTTTCACTTTTATTAAAGCTTTGTCAGAGATTGAGAGAATACAGACAAAAGGACGGAAACACTAGTACTTTCTATTAGGTTTGGGTCCATTTTCAGTGGTTAAACACGTGTCACGTGTATTAAAACCGTGGATAATTCTGTGTGTATTTAGGTGTGTAAAGATTCCTGTATGTCTAAGTGGGCAACAAATGGTAATGTCTATTTGTAATTGTGTGCGTGTGTCTATCTAGCTGTTGTTTTATCTTTACCAATGGCGGTTAACCCTCTAGGATTCTTAGAATCTCTTCCATTTAGACACATCATACCAAACAGCTCGCCTTATCCAAGATTTATAGATGGCGTCCTCTTATATCCCCAAGATAGAAACTTATTAGACATAATGAAACTCAATAAGGCTGAATTCGCACAGGAATTTGAAATAAACAATTCTCTACCTTTCCTCGACATGCTACTAATACGCAACAATGAGGAATTAGATTTTAAGGTATATTGTAAACCCGCAAACAAAATGGATATAATTAACTTCTATCACTACGACAACCAAAAAATAAAATCTTGACTAGTCATAAGATTTTACCTTAGACCCCTTAGGATATGTAGACCGGAATATCTAAATAAAAAAGAGATAAACTCGCAAACAAATTAGTCATCCCTAATACTAGACTCGTTGCCACCACCTCCAAGATATAATTAGAAAGAGAAATAAGCCCAACACCAACTCAAATGCCGGGATCTATCAAATAAATTATTTACGATGCAAAAATGTTTATGTGGGGAAAATATCACATGATCTAAAAGCCTACATCTACGAACACAAGAGAGATTTGCGTTTAGACACTCGATCTAACTCTCGTTTTGCATCGAAATGATGTTGCACATTACTTTGATTTCACTAATGCCACCCTAATTAAAAAAGAACATAATTTTTTAAGGAGAAAATACACTCACTGAAAACTTAATAATAAACACACGCCTAAAACATTACATTATATCGCTTTCTTTCTTTGAATCCATTCTTAAAGAATCTAACTTATATCTATCTAATACAAAGAATACATTCTTAAAGAGACGAGCCATAAATTAGTGACCCCTGGCTCCCCGTTGCGAGGGTTGACCGCACAAACTTGAAGATAAAAAAAAACAAACTTGACAAACCCACGCACACAATTACAACTACATATGACCATCCGTTGCTCACTTAGACATACAAGAATCTTCACAAACCTATAGACATAGAATTAGACACTGTTTTAATATACGTGACGCATGTCTAACCAACGAGAACTGACCCAAACATAATAGAAATCACCAGTGCTTTCTGTTTTAAGTGTGTTTTCTCTCAATCTCTGACGAAGGTTTAATAAAATTGAAACATGTTCGACTGATATATGTTTCCTATTTGTGTTGTCTGCCCCCATGACAGGGGTGGGCTTGACTATCGCCCCAATTTACACGTATATTCATTACCTCCTCATGGTGGGAGGTCTTGGGTAACGGCGTCAATTCGATAATAAAGTTGCATTTATCTCTTGCGGCCGGTGATCGCTAGTTGTTTTGAGTTCAGAGATAAAAGAACTTCAACACAAGCAATTTTATCTATTTTATCAACGTTCATGTCGACAAGTGGGGAGCCGTTCCAGACACCAAAGAAGACACGTCTACATTGCTTGAAGGTTAAGAAACAACTCACTGAAAACCCCTTTCTCTATATCTATCGTTCACATGCTGGCTCAACCAATCAAAATCGACTTTATTTTGTTTCCCATCTGACCTCAACCTCAGGAATTCTGAGCAGAGATACACTTCCTCAAGAAAATTAATAGTCAGCTAAACTATCATTTCTCATTTGTTCTTTTATTTTATCACACACACACACACACACACACACACACACACACACACATATATATAAATTCGATTGAGGATGAAATGGAACTAATGTCTTTAATTTAATTACAAAATTAAATTCGTAGCTTTTAGCTTCCATTTTTGAAACATGGTTAGAACTGTGTAGCGAAAAAAAACCATAATATAATATCAATGATCTGTAAATTTACATTGAGCATATATATATATATATATATATATATATATATATATATATATATATATATATATATAGGTCAATATCTAGATGGGTGACCGTTTGAAAATACAAGGTGGTGTAAGCTGGGATATGCAGCTGATATAATGTGTAAAGGCTCGAAAATAGTAATATGAAACTGGATTGCCGAGTTCCAATTCCAGTCGGATTCGTTACGCGCGTGAATCCAGTCGGGTCCACTTTCGCGCAAATATAATTGAGAAAGATCTATTCTCCCCTCCCTATCTATGGGTTAATTCGTCGGATTTGTATTAGTAAATCGTTATTATCTCCCCACCACACGCAAATTCTAACAATCTAAAATATATTCTTACTTTAGATAACTTCTAAAAAGTTGATTATTCGTAAAAAAACAGACCAATTAATCAATGTGACAGAACAGTAAAATAATAGTAGTATATATTAATGTAATAAATACAATTGATAAAAAAAAACAAAGAGAAACGTTAAGAAAGGAAAGAGGAACAAGAAGTTGAGGACACATGGCACAGTGGATAAAGGCGTTGGTTAGATTCAGTGACAGGACCCAAAGAGTGTGAGTTCAAAACCCGGTTAAGGCACTGGAGAACTTTCAGAGGGAAATTAACAGAACATAACTGATAACTGGCATCCATTAAGAAACATGGCACGTGGTACTAGAACAGTCTACCCCAGTGAGCGAAATAAAGGGTTCAGTTCAACATTCCAACCACCTGAAGAAGGCCGGAGCGTACAACGGCCAAAACGTTGTAATAAATATGGCGACAAAGATGAGGACAATAGTCCGAATAATGTAAATAATGTACATAATACCTCATCTCAGAAGTATAGACAGACTCAGAAAAAAATAGAAAGAAAGAAATGGAGAAAGAAGGAGAGAAAGAATACGTGGAAAAATCTTAAGAAAGAAAAAAAGAGACAAAGAAAGAAAAAAGAAATAAAGAAACAATGCGTGGAGAAATGTTAAGGAAGGAAAAGGAAGAAAAAACGAACAAAAGAAAGAAAGAAAGAAAGAAAGGTATGATTAATTCTTAGAGAAATGTTAAGAAAGAAAGAAGAAAAAGTAAGAAAGAAAATGGCGAGATATTGAGACATAAAATCTCCGAGACACTCTGGCGACGTTTACTTTTCTGATGACGGTTCCATCTATGTTTATCTCGTCTTGTTCCGTTTGTAATGCGTAACGGATGGGAATACAGACAACGAAAATATTCGCTGTAATTCTTTCATTAATCATTCTTTAATTTTATTTCTATTATTTTACTGCAACTCTTATCATAATTCTATGAGTGTCAAGAAAACAGTCTGGATAAGAAATAATGAATAAGTTAACCAAAATTAATAACGACGATGCGTGATTGAAGAAATCAGACCATTAATTTATTCATTTCAAATTCATTATTTACCCTTTAAAATCGGAACAAGATTAGAACAAAGTATGAAATCGGAATAAGAAAAAACAAGTTCTTATATTGCTATTTAATTAGCTGACCGAAACATGACCCATACTGGCTTATGGAAACAGAAACGGTTCAGAGGACAATGGACAATTTAGGTTCAGTTTTTCCCCAGAAACCAGAAAAATGATTCGACCTCTAAAAAAATTAAGTAAAAAGAAGTTTAAATAAAGAACTTACGTTCGTTGATCTTCGTGTATATATATATATATATATATATATATATATATATATATCCAAATGTAAAAGAACGAAGAGTAAGATTTCAGCGTTCAAAACATTAAAACAGGGCTTGATACAAAAGTAGAACAATGAATATTTATTTATTATGCAGGGTTACATTAGAACATGCACATACCCCCTACAAAACTGTACATCTTGTTTCAACGTTAAATTTTTTTTTAACGTTTCATCAGGTGGGAAATCACGATGCTACTAAAATATTTTATTCCGAAATGCAGTTGATGAATCACATCTTCCACTTCCGTCATTGGAAAGTTTCCCATAAAAGTTAAAAATGAATTTACATGCGGAGAAAGATAGGAAGTCTTGATTAGTAACAGCGAGAGAGAGAACAGAAATAAGAGGAAAAGTCCAAGAAAAGGAAATAATATACATAAATAATATATATATATATATATATATATATATATATATATATATATATATATATATAAATGAAATAAAAACAAATTAAAACTACTCCCACCAAAATAATAGAATAAACTAGAGAACTCAACCCCCAAATTCAATAAATAGCTTCCCAAACCAAAACAAAACAAAGCGATATAAACAAATTTTTACTACGTTAATAAAATAAAAATAAATATATAAGATAAGAAATAAAAAAAAAATGAAAATAAATAAAAACAAGCAAAATAATTTAACCCAAATAAACAAATAAATGACTTCCGGCAAAATAATCGCCAAAATAGACTACCCACAATGCACCATTGACCCGTATATATAAATAGCCAAGAAAAATAAGAGCACCCGTGGCCTGACGATTGCGTTTAGCATGAAAGAGCTTGTCGTCTTTAAGTGTTGACTTTAATGTTCACTTTTATATTTACACACGATTGAGCACTTTTTCCAATAAATATAGTACATCTTAAGAGTATATTTCTTCATATATATATATATATATATATATATATATATATATATATATATATATATATATATATATATAATACATAATTACAGAAGATCCAAGGTCGATTTTACTGCTTTTAAACTACGATCTTCCGTAAAATCGACCTTGCTAACCGATGGGATGAAACTGCCATCCAGTACTTTCTGCATTCTGTTTTATTCTAGGCTTGACGAATTACTATATAATTAGCCTAATTCCCCATATATATATATATA